TGGGCTGTGGGTTGATGATGGGACACACGAGAACGAGGCTGCGAAGGATGTGTCGCCTGATGCAGCATCAGCTGCTCTGTCGGGCGTGGCGCCAGAGGACACCAAGTCGACTGTGGCATCGACTTTGTGAAACATTTGAGCTAACTGTACATCGTCTGATTTCTCATAGTCCGGATTTGAAGATGGTATATTGCAATGTTGGCTTGACAACGTTGACCGAGTCGGTCACATCAAGCTCGTTTCCTCGAGGCGAAGATCACGTCGCTCGAACTCGATTATGGACATGCCTTAGCCGTGACAGAGCTTCATACATGCGCTCGGGAATATCGTGCGATCCTTGGTTGGTTAGATCGTTGGTGGACTGGATGGTAAGATAGACCCTGCTGATGCGTGTATCCGTAAGCATTCTTGCAAGTTCTGTCATGTTCGTCTTCGGATCGTCTGCGTGTAGAGATTAACGGTAATATTATTGGCTACGAGAGGCACCCTTGTTCAAGCAAGACCTTCCCATGCTCTCTTTCGGCCAGTACGAAGTCGATTTCCTATGTCCTGCAGCTGCTTACCTGTACCGACGTTCACCCCGTAGAGAATCTTCAACGTCAGGCCCAAGTTTGAGATCATATGATTGTCGAGGCCGATCCGACATAAAGTACGATTTCGATTGTTAGATGAGCGACTGCGACTGTCGTTCCCTCCAAACAAAGGGCGCTCAAATCTCGTACCGTTAGCGCCTGCGTCTCGTTAGTCCCTCCTTTTTCCCTCGACTATGTTGTGGAACTAACTTGACTTTGATATCAGCACTCAAGCTTACAATTGATCACTCGGTCCATGCCTTAGCCAATATTGTCCGTTCACCGTCAACCTCGGGCTCACAGAGAAACTTCACGCGTCGATTTTCTCGTGGCGGCAGATACGAGTTTCACTTGGTTCAATCTTGGAGCAAATTATGCGACGAAGTTTGGGCGAAGCTGATTAACAGAACCTCGTTTTCTTAGCTTGAACCAACGAGTTTATCGGTGTTCGAGTTGGTCGATGCTACGCACTCATCCCAGTCGGCTCTTGAGTACCATAAGGGATTACTCTTCGTTGATCCACGGCCGACGAGCAGCGCCGCGCACCATAGCAATGGCGAGGGCGCCGATCTGTACCTACACAAGCCCTCAAGTACGAAAAAGGACTATGCTTTTCCTACCTCACACCCATGAACAGCGACGTCAACGCTGTTGGTGACGCACACAAAGCTACTGGCTGCATTGCTTCCACTCACGAAGTCCACGTGTCGTCGTCGACAATCCTTGTATCCGGCCGCCAATGTTCTACAGCTCCATAGGGGACTACGCTGGAGGAGATGAGCATTGATGCTCAAACGAGTTCGTCCAGAAGAGCACATCTCGACGCTCACCAACCCATCACCGAGTAATCGCTCTTGAAAATTATCATTCCTGTTCCACGCTGGTGCGACGATACTCACCATCGTTAAACACCACAGAGCTTTGATGTGGAGTGTTGGCCTCGAAGACTTTGTACAGAATGTCGTTTACCATATCGGCTGGTAACGCCAAGGTATGTTCTACATTCGTTCGTTTTCTGAAGGCGTTGTGGCTGACTACATTTTCAGCGTCTTTCCGGTCGTACTCCTGAGAAATGGTTCAGCAGGTTGACGTTGTCTGCCCTTCAGAGCCACCGGAGGGGATTCACTGGGTTTCTCACCCCCGTCCTAGGCTTCACACCACCGTCTGCGCAGTCTCACCTGCATTCATCACTGCAGAGACAAGGCCATCAGTACTGTAGTTGATGCGAATGTGCCGGAGAGGATGAAGAAGCTGAAACCGGTTGTTGAGGATCTTGTGCAGGAGATTACGGTGGTGGCGAGTCTGGAGTTGGAGGAAGGCAATAGGAAGAGGATGGCGTGATGGGTCGCCATGAGGGATGGTAGCTAATTGCTTTGCACGTGGACAGTGATATACGGAAAGTCGTAAATAGTTGTATAAGACTTTTGTGTATTTCCAAGGTTCTGCTCGGTGCAAGGAACGCTGTCTTAAGCGCGCATGCCTTTGCCTTGAACACGACCGGGACAACACCGGAGTACTCCGCGCATGCATATGTCTAACCCAGCCAATGCTCGTTATTTCTACGGCCTGTCTAATATTGATCTGGGACTCTTCCGGATCCCTGTTGAACCTTCAATGTTGTCAGAAAGCCTGAAAGGAGGCGTTCAAACTAGCCCCTATCAAGCTTAAAGCTCCGATGGGGTTGTTTACACCTGCATTTTCCTACCCTTGTCGGCGCGCACCTTCTCCAGTCCACCTACTGCTCCAGGCATATGCGACCTGCTCTTAGTGATTCGAAACGATTTGAAGACCAACACGGCAGATAGATGTAGTGCGGGTAGTCCACTCGTAAGTTTGCCACTTTCTGCGAAAATCGCGCGATGAGTGATGTTTTGTACATGGCCATTTTCAGGATATGACCGTCGTTCATGATCAACATGGATCAAACGCAGTGCTGCTCTTCTTGATGTAGCGGGCACGGTTCACCGACCGCGTGTCACGACTCCCACTCGCCTTCTCCATCGACTCCGTCGATACCATCGATCGATGTCAGCACACAGAGCAGTTGTTCGTCCGGTTTGCCTGCCTCTTGCTCGATCCACGGACGATCGTCGCATTCGGCCGCTCTCGGGCTCTGCACGGTTCACCGCAGACTCCCTGCGGCATCGACTCTACAGACAAACGTCGCGATCATTCACACTTGAGCACCTAACCTACTGGAAACCTGTACGGCCCACCGAAGGTTTTCAGTAGGGTTCCCTGCCGACGCTTGCAATGCAAACCTGGACGGTTGACCGCTGGGTTTCTCCACCGACGATTGTCGCAATCATCACATTCCACTCCTGCAACTCTGCACAGTTAACCGCGGGATCTCTGTGGTGTCGGCTCCACCATTACATTCTACGCGAGCGGCCACCTGCACGGTTTCACCGAAGGTTTCTTGCAGTGATCACTTTCGCGATGATATTCGCAATCACCACGACTCTGCATAATAACTGCGAGTTCTCCTCGGCGTTTATTCTGCAGACGGTCGTCGCGGTCCTCACCTCTGTACCTTGCCTGCTGAAACCTGCACGGTTCACCGAAGGTTCTCAGCAGCGTTTTCTGCCGACGATCTTCTAATCATCGCATTCGTACCTTACCTGCTGGAAACCTGTACGGTTCACCGAAGGTTCTCAGCAGCGTTTCCTGCCGACGATCTTTGTAATGCCGCCCTCAAGTCCTCCACGGTTCACAGTCCCACCCACTCTACAGCGGATCACCACAATTACGACATTCCATACTTACCCCACGAATTGCTGCAAAATCTACGCAGTAGTCAGCTCCAGGCCACCGACATCTTCACCTTCTACCTTGCCTGCTGGAAACCTGTACGGTTCACCGAAGGTTGTCAGCAGCGTTCCTTGTCAATGATCCTCCTAATCATCGCATTCGTACCTTACCTGCTGGAAACCTGTACGGTTCACCGAAGGTTGTCAGCAGCGTTCCTCGTCCACGATCTTCCCAATCATCGCATTCGGCCCCTATCATAACCTCCACGGTTGGCCGCACGTTCTCTGTAGTTTTCACTTCATGGACGGACGATGATCGCAATTGTCGCCTTCTATTATAGCCACTCTTTAGGCCCCCGTGGTTCCCCCAATCAATCCTTTAACTTGAGGATTACATTGGTTCATCATAAAAATTTCGACTCAACTGCGAATTCGTTTTATGAACGAAAAACCCATTGAAATCGGCGCGCTTCAAAAATACCATACAAGAGGCGGCCGCCTGGAAGACTTTCCGCAAAGAAATCAAGGCACACATGCTGCGGAGCAGAGGACATAGTATCAAAAAGGTCTCCAGTAAGTCCTTTTGCGCTAGACGCTGCCCTAATTACTTACTGTGCTGCTTGAAGACGTAGCTCGCCAGACTTTTATCACTGCCTAATCTACCGCCTTAAGCACTCGTCCTCCCCCTGACGCGTATCTCATATGCTATCCAATACCTTTATTTAGTCGCATTCGCTGCCCTCGGACATTCGAACGGCTCCTGGAGCTCTTTGATTCCGCATGAGGATGGAGAGCCCACCTTGTCCGAACGACGCATGCTGCCAGACTTGTCGTTGTCGCACAGCAGCGCAGCCGTCGTTCCATGTGCGTATCCCCACGCGTCACCTCTGCGACGTTACGATCACTCAGCGCTCAGCTACCACCCTGGCTCCTCCTCTTACACAACTCCACCTCCCCTGCCTCGTTCAAGCCTTGGCATGAACGCCACCAGTCCGTCCACCTCAAGAAGATCCTTTTTGCCACACTCCCCACCCAACAAGGTGTACTACCCTCCACCGATGCGCCAGTAGCAAACCACGACTCAGACGGACCCGTGGCGGCCGTACTCCTCAGAATCGTTGTCGTCTTCGCATTATATTCTTATCTTAATCATACTCGCCGCGGCCTTGCATGGTGCGCAGCAGGGAGCACCTAACAGGCGTATGCATACCCTCCCGAGGATTGGGTAGCGGGTGTTTGCAAATACATCAAAGGCTGGGCACGAGGGATATTCCCAATCCAAATCGAAAGTGACGCCGTCGAGTAACTGGGCGTATGGGGGGGGGGTGCGCACGGGCGAGTCCAGCCCTGCGATGAAAGGTGGACACAACCCACGACCCGCGACACCAAGGACAAGAACCCAGGGCAGGGCAGTACACCAGAATCAACCCAAGCTCCGCACCGACCTGCGTACTACACCGGTGTGCAGAACATGCTAGCTAGCCAGCTGTTGACTTGGCGAGGCGGGGCGAGTGGGAACAGACCTAGACGCTGGACGGAGGCAAGCGGGGGACAGATTCTGGATGACGCAGGACGCAGAGGAGAAAGAAGGGCTTGTCGTTTTCGTAGGCGTACTTTGATTGAACGTCCGTGTAGTCGTTGCAAGCCCGTCACCGCTTTCGAGTTCTAGTCTATCTCCATGACTTGGTTGCAACGTTTCGTTACACCTCCTGACGTGCCGAATGCCCAGCGCCGCGCCACCCCGAGCAGCTCCTCGGGCAACATTGCCCAAACCTTCCATCGCTCTCGCATCGCGTCTAACCCCGTTCCGCCGCGCGATGGGCAGACGAGTGGGTACGTCGTTGGTCACTCACCGCAGGGAACGCGGGAGGAGCCTTCCGAGCAGCCGACGAAGCCCAAAGGATCGGACAGGAAGGATAAGGGCGTTGTAGGCGCCGATTCGTCGCGTCACTGAAATCCATGGCGCGCCGGGGGGTTGATTCTGCTCAGTACCAGTGGATTTCTGCTCGTAAACCCTCCGCAGACGCGAAAACGCCATCCGTGCTCATGGGGAGGACTTTCGGATGTTTTTTTCTTGCGCCGCAGCTCGGACAGCTACAAATTAGCCGAATTATGCGCGTTTGGGTTATCACAATGCGCGTCACTGACACATCCACATCTTTCTCGCCATTGCGCGCGGATGCCTTGCGGATGCCTGAGAGCGCTGCATGGGAAATTACTAATCCAGTCGTGGGACAAAGTGGACAACAGACGACATCGCGTTTCTCATCCAACTACGTTCAGATTCCTCCATGAGCGACGAGGTATGGCTCTTTATGATAACAAAGGCCCCAGTGATGTGCTGACGTTGCTGCTTTCACAGCCAGCCCCTCGATATACAACATTCTATGAAGCTATGCTCGCGCTTGGCTTTGTCAAGCCGGATACTCCGCGGCAGATCACCGAAGTCAACCCTCTTGCGGCTCTTGCCCATGCCCGGTGCATCCTACAACAGCGAAAGCTGGTGCTGAATACGACTTACCTTCGCTGTCTCCTCGACCTAGGCTGGCTGTCAGACGCCGAGAAGTCGGCCTTGACATCAGCCGAGGTCCTCGCTGTTGAGGAGCATCGCGCCAAGCTCCCTCATTTGCTGGCGTCGCTTCCTAGCTTCACGGTGGCTGAGGACATTCCCGTCGAGGTGGCCTTGGATATCCCCGTTCGTCCAGGTGATGGACAACGTTTGGACGTTGAAGCAAATGCTACTTCTTACGCCATGGCCTGCGAAGCCATCATCGATTATAACGCTTTCGACATGATGTCTTCTGTCGTCGCAGACATATATTCTCAAAAGTTTGCCGCTCTACACAAGGCCGGTGACCAAGCTCGCTACGATTTTTCCACACCCAGGCTTCAAGGCGGTATATCGAAGGAGAACCACGAAAAGGAGAACATCCACGATAGGAAAAGGAAACGTGATGGAGTTGATGTAGAGGTCGAGGCGAAAAAGAACAGACAACAATTTTGAGAGGGTATCCATCTCGTCCAGTGATGCAATACCTCCTATTCTTTGTCTTTCCCCTTATGTTTCCTTTATCTGCTGCGTACACCCCGTGCCGGAATGAACGAGCGACGCTCATGTCGCTCACTCATAACTTTTTGTGGTTGTCAAGAGTTCAAACCGCGGCCATCGGTGGAAGATCTGTGGGAACGGTTTCACCGACCGCACGATAACGTCTACGTTGATGCCGTCGGTCGTCTCTGTTGAATTGCCGAGTATGACTGGTTGCGAGGTTCTGTGCAAGGAAATTGGAACTCGATTGCAGAAAAGTAAGGCCTGATTGTGGCGATTGCGCATTGTGGCAACTGCGCATTGTGGCGCTTGCGAGATTGCACAACATTGCGCAACCTCCGGCAATCAAAGTGTGCGAATACTGATGCCAGTTGGGTATGTCTGAGGTCCTCTTCAAGTCCGTCATACAGCAAGATAGATATTGTTTCACCTACTCATTATTCTCGACTTCAAGGTCAGTTGGAGTTATTATATGTCTTCAATTCCCAGTACTCAACCATGTCCATTTCTATTGCAGGATGGTCACTTGCTCATTCTGCGATGCAGCCGGCTTCAAGGACCGAGACTCGTGTTTAAGCCATATAAAGAGAAACCATTTGGCCTCAGTTGAGATCTTCAGAGGTGCGCCATTAGGTCGTGCCGTTTCTCATCCTCTTCTAATTTGTCCGTCTATTGTTTATTAGCTAAACAAGTCTACACCGTGACTAGAGCAACGCCCGTCGCTCACATTGCATGCCCGGCCTGTGCTGCCGTTGGCATAACGTTCACCTGCATACCTATTCCCACTATGAAAGCACATATCAAAACAACGCATCATCAGGCAAAGGGCAAGGATTTTGGTGTCCGGGAGCAGATCTTTTTCCCTTCACTATCTCCCGAACCGGAGTTGGACGAAGGTGAACTCCCCTCACCTGGTCTTCGATCTCAGCCTACCTCTCCTCCTTCACTGGGCGATGATCTTACCGGTCCCCCACTCTCACGCGCTCCTTCTGTGGGCCCAGCCTCAGCGGAGCTGTACGAAAAACGTACCCTGGAGTACTCTCCGTTCCAACAATCACGCCCTCCCTCTCCGAACCTAGCCTCGGATGAAAGTTACAAAGACCATCCCTTGGAGTATATATCACCTCCTCCTTCTCCGAACCCCGTCTCGGTGGAAAATGACAAAGAGGTTCCAATGGAGGGTATATCACGCGCTCCTTCTCCGAACTCATCCTCGGTGGAAAGTACGGAAGAACTATTGGATTATGAATCGCTCCCTGCCTCACCGGCATCTGCGCTGGTTGAACCGTCTCTTGGTTCAGCTTGCCAGAGTCTTGACTTAAACGGCGAGGTCGAAGATTCACCTTGGCTCACTAGACTCAACCTCCGCCTTAATGTGATGTACAAGGTTCTCTTGTGCATTACATGCGAGTGCGCTTGGACTCCAGCTCATGTGAAAGGACATCTGAAGCGCCACGGAATCGTCTTGAGCCCAGACGACATCGCTTCTATAGATCGTCTCGTAGATGAAGGGCGACTTCTTCCGACTGACGATGTTTCCAAGCCTACCGAGATAGGCAAAGCCGTCGAAGGCCTTAAAGTCCATCCTGTCAAATACTGTTGCTCCGTCAAGGGTTGCAACTTTGGAGCCCCCGGGCAAAGCACCTTTCGAATTCACTACTCCACGCATTCAAATGCAGAGAAGTGCGGTGCCACCGCATTAACAGCCGCGAAGGATGGTTTCGTGCAAACCTTTTTCGACCCGTCTCCACAACGCTTCTTCCAGGTCTTAGCTCCGCCTCGTCCAACGATGGCTCATGATCCCTTCTCGGTATACTTAGAAAAGGTTAAGCCTACTTTGCGCAAGCCGGACGTCATTTCTCCGGCGGCAAATGACCTTCATCGCCCTCTGCACTTGCGCGTGACCAATTGGGACAAATACTTGGAGAAATGGACCGCAAATCGCAGGATACTTAGGCCAGTGATGGCGATGATGGATCTCCCGAGCCGTCCAAAGGATGCAATAGACCCGTTCGCTGAGGTTATGCCCTTATGCGTAAAGTACGTAACAGATACTGGTGTTAGAATCAAAAACACTCCCCTCGACGTCCGCAAAGCGCTCGAAAGCTGGCCGATGTGCGTACTATATGCTCTAATTTCATCCCACAATCATCGATGTTCAGTCTATGCCTTTCTTAGCGCCCATGGTAGCAAAGCGTTCCGAGTCCACGGCAAGCCTGAGACAGTTACAGATTATTCCCGATTTCTGGCTCAGATCGTTGTAGCCGCATTGCGTATGCTCTCGGAAAATCAAACAGATTACTCCTGGCCTCTTGACCCTGCGGAGAAAGATCGAGGAGCAGCGTTATTGAAGGCACTTGAAGAACCAAACAAGACGTCTGCCGCCTTGGACGCCCTCCACGCCTTCATATACCCCTTCTTTTCCGCCTTCGACTTTACACGTCCGTTCGATGCCTCTGATAAGTTTAGCCAGCTTATCGAATGCGCTTATGCACTCAATGCGTTACGAGAAGATGGCACCTTCCTTCCGCCACACTTGCTTACTGGTTACTTCGCCAAAACCAAGTACTTATGCCGGATTATTGTTTGGTTCGAGGCAGACCGTCATCTAGGCGAATTTGGCAATAATCCTTCGAAGTGAGTTGCATCTATTCTATCAATCTCTCTCCAATTGAAATGTCACTTCAAGGGCGATTGCGCATTATGTTATCAAGGACTTGGCCCCTGGAACTAACTCCGCTTTCTCAGTGGCCAACGACTATGCAGGGTATTACGCCAGCCTGGTGGAGTTGACCACAACGCCACCCATTTGCAAAGTGGAGAGTGACGGCAGTAGGATCTCGTACAAGGAGAGCCAGATAGTTGTTCCAGATTATGTGGCTGGATTGAACGATATGGCCAACGACATCGAGCGGAAGATCGTAGACCTCTTCCGTGGGCAAGATATCGACTTGCAAATTCCAGGCGATGCTGTCGAGGACTGGAACACGACATCTCGAGGGCAAGGCTACTTCAGCGATATCTCCAAGCTGGTTACGCGAAGCGATCAACTCATGGATATCCATCTGAAGGACGAGGACCTGAAGCTGATGAAAGTCAGCAGCTCAGGAGACCCCTTGTGGAATATGGACGCTGTTCACAAGGTTCTAAAACAAACTGCTGATATCACTGACTTAATCTCCGTCTATGCGCTGAATACTTGCGGGCCACATCCACGCGGAACGGAGTTCATGGAGCACAAGATAGTCAACTCAGTTCGCCCTCGCAATATCTTCGTCAACAACGAGAAGATGTACTTCGTCACACGGCGAGTCAAGAACGAAAGCGAGATAGGTCACGAGTCATTCATCGTCGAGCTGGCCCATCCTCGCCTTCGCTCCATGATACTCAAGCTCATTGTCGGCATACGTCCGATGGAACAAGTACTTGTGCGAATTGCATATTCGGAAGAGGTCGGTCAGCGCTACGACGAGTATCTCTATCCGCCATATTGTACGGAAAAAGACAGCTCAAAGTTCAGCAATCTTCTGCAATCGCTGCTGTGGAAGTACTGTCGCATCAAAAATGCCGGCCTTAGAAATATGCGCCAGCTGACCGTCGAGCTTGGACGCGTATACCTGGGCAACGACTTTGTCCAGAAAAGCTTCGACGTCGATGATGTACTCGCTCGGCAGCGGGGCCATTCTCTGGCTGTCGAGCGCAAGATGTACGCCCCCGAGATGAACCATCTCCCTGCCATGTCAAGCGACGCTCTTCAGGACTATGAAGCTGCTTCTATGGCATGGCATCACGTGCTTGGCTGTGCTCCCGGTTTGCCGCCTCTTGTTCCTTGCTGCCTTCGCAAGAAACTGATGTACGAGGCGAAACGAGGCATATATCCACCGGTTGAGCCCGATATCAACGGTTCTACTCCCGATCAGAGCGTGGATATGCAGGCTATCTGTGGGATGTTCATTGAAACGCAATCCATGCTCACCAGAACGCTTGCATCCTTCAAGACCGATACGCGCAACGAGATAAAGCAGTCAATTGCTGACGCTATGGTGGAGTTTGCGCGCCATGTCCCACTCCCAACACCGGTTACACACCATACCCATCCTCCTGCAGCACCTACGCCATCCGCATTCCAATCTCCTCCAGTTATGCCGCTTGATCCAGTGAACGTAGACATGGACGGTAAGCAACTACAAATTATACTTGACTCTGTCATTAAACTTACCACTGTAAAAGGCGATATACCAGAGATTTCGGAGCAACTTCTGTCGGACCATCGAAATCTACAGCAGACTCAAATCACAGTCGACGGGCCAGGTTATGCTCTCGACCTACTCCGTTGCTTGCTCAAAGACGAGTCAGCCGCCTTTCGCTCCATTCAACAGCGCCAGATTGTCGAAGCCGCGCTTGCAGCGACAGAGAATTTTGTTGGTATCTTACCAACAGGTGGCGGCAAAAGCCTTGCGTACCTACTGCCGGCGTTGAAAGAGGCCGAGTTAGGAAAGCTCACCATGGTCATAATTCCGAACCAGGTCCTACTTCGTGATCAGCTTGCGAAGGCTGCGTCGTTTGGGCTCAAAGTAAAACACTTCAAGGCCACCGACCGTGAAATCGGGGACTCCAACCTCATATTCGTCGCTCTGGAAACCGCTACATCTCCCGTTTTTGGCCAGTAAGCTGCTGTGAACCAAGCACTCGCACTTAATCTGACTGTGTTCTCTGATGGTAGATTTTATGCGGACCAGCAGCACCGGCTTGTACGGGTGGTAATTGATGAGGCGCACCAGGTTATGACACAAAGTGGCTTCCGCACCAAGTTTGCGAAGCTTTGTACGCTTGCCGACTATCCAATCCAAAAAATCTATCTTACCGCAACTCTTCCGGTCGACAAGCAGGAAACCCTGCTTGCTATGGTCGGCGCACATCTTAAGACCCGCTTTATCCGTGCACCGGTCTACCAGCCTCGCATTCGCTACATGAAGGTCGCCATCGATAGCTCCCTCACTCCTCTTGATTCATTTATTGTCCATGTCGCCCGGATGTTGTCGACCGAGTATCTTGCACCGTACCAGAAGGGAATCATTTATGTGGAGAGCATTAGAATGTGCGATGCTATAGCCAAGCACTTCGATGACTGCTGCTCGCACTCGGATCTCACTTACGCCTTGAAAATGGACAACGAGCGCAAGTGGATGGACTCCCAGTCAGATGGATCGCAGGTTGATTCGTATCAATGGATCGTTGCTACAACGGGCATGATCCATGGCGTGGACCACCCGAATGTTGGCGCGGTTATAACAGGTGGATCCATTTTCTCCATCTACAATATCTTCCAAGGCGCTGGTCGTGGTGCCCGCGGTACCAAGCCGTCACTCGCAATTGTGGTCACAGAACACAATAAGTCGTATGTTGATCCAATACGGGGAGCGGAGGACTTGATGTGTATCAAGGAGACCAACGCTTTTATGGCGACCCCAGCCAAAACTTGCCTTCACCATCATCTGTCGCTGACATTCAACGGGTTTCCGGCCGACTGCAATGATCTAAACAATCTCGTTGATGAAGCCCAGCCGTGCTTCAACTGCGACCCCCAGCACCCAATATTGCGCCGAGTCCTGGCGCTCAGCAAGTTGACTGAGTCGAACCAAGGCACGCATCCGGGGTCAAGGCCCTCGCACCAGGTGCTCCCCGCCACCGCCCAAGGATCAGATCTGGCTAGTAAGACTATGACTGACGATGACTACGATGACACCTTTGGCAACGACAGCATCATGAATATAGATCCTGCTGCGTTGGACGAATGCCTCAGGATGTTCAGTGATGACACGAAACCTACTTCCGTTGCTTCCACACCCCAGACTTCGACCTCTGTCTCATCGATTCATCCCGTTCTTCCCCTTCTTCCGCCCCCATCGCCGCCAGCCCATACTTCGAAGCGCACGATTGATCAGACGCAGCCAACTGCCGCTCAACCAGCGCACAAGCGCCAACGTTCTTACGCAGCTCCTCCAAACGCTCTGAAACAGCAGTATCAGCCTTCAACCTCCACTTCATCGATTCAACCTCTGATAAATAAGCATCGTTGTGACGCTTCCACGCCAACTCGTCCAAACGATCAACAATTGCGACAAGCTCCAAATCGAACGGGAATGCCAGTTCTGATGGACCATGCTCGTCACCGGGATCAAACGATGAGGAAAGAGCAGAAGTACCAGCTGCTAGCCTCGATCTGTCTTCGTTTGCAGCATAAGTGCGCAGTCTGCTGGATATGGCATGGCCGTGATGCCCCCAAAGACCACACTGTCTTTACCGGCTGCAAATCGGCGGATGGAGAGTTCAATGGTCACCTCGCAGGCTCCACGAAACTTCGCAATGCCATGCATTACACAGTGAAATACACCTACTGCTTTAGGTGCCATTTACCGCAATCTGACCGCCCTGCGGGAGGACTGTTCCTGCCTCCCACGCACGGAGTGATCAATCAGGCGCAGAATCCGACATGTGGCGGGTTGGCGAATGTAGTTGTGCCGCTCGTCTGGTACATCTGGTCAACACCTAGTGTTTTGACATCAGCAGTAAAACAGTTCGGTGGGTGTGGACTGATGGAGGGTATGTCGCTCAATGACCTAGGTAAATGGCTTGTTAAGCATCAAAATGCTGAATGCTTTAGCAATGCCATCGAACTAGTGCTTTGGCTATGCCAGCCGAAACTGGGCGACTAATATTTTATGTGGCGTATCGGCACAGCAGCACTTACATTCTTAAATTCTTTGCCTTCGACCCTCTGTATATTTCGTACTGTATATTATTAGTGCAGTACTGAGTACTGATTCACGGACTCTCTTTGGTATGCTTCATCCGGCGTAATTCGTTCCTAGTATTAAGATAGATGATAGCTTTGTAATTTCAGAACTCTGATGGGCTAGACAGCTCCTTGACTTGGTTAAGTACCCAGTCATCGGAATTTCCGAGATACCCTCAGATACCGAGAGCAGGAAAACAGTGGATAGCCCCAACTCACCATCTCAGACGGCAGGTACGCCTCCTTCATTTCACTAGCTAGCGCGCGAAGCCCAGGAACAGGTGAATGCGACTCGGCGAGTCACATTTCACTCGAGTTACTGTCCCATTTTGACTAACTGTTCACGCCTTGCTACGCGTTACAGCAAGTGTTCACGGTTGCTGGTGTTTATTTGCGTGCCGTATGCGTTACGCTGGCCAAAAATTGTGCTAAGTGCCCGCACCGGCTGCAGGCCAAGAGAAATTTGGGTAAATTTCGCTTCAGAGTGGTGAGTAAGGGTTCCAATTTTGCTGTGATCTTTCCTCGCATGCGAGGAGAAACCAAGCTGTGAGGCCCCGCGACGCTAGCCCCTATCAAGCTTGAAGCTCCGATGGGGTTGTTTACACCTGCATGCATATGTCTAACCCAGCCAATGCTCGTTATTTCTACGGCCTGTCTAATATTGATCTGGGACTCTTCCGGATCCCTGTTGAACCTTCAATGTTGTCAGAAAGCCTGAAAGGAGGCGTTCAAACTAGCCCCTATCAAGCTTAAAGCTCCGATGGGGTTGTTTACACCTGCATTTTCCTACCCTTGTCGGCGCGCACCTTCTCCAGTCCACCTACTGCTCCAGGCATATGCGACCTGCTCTTAGTGATTCGAAACGATTTGAAGACCAACACGGCAGATAGATGTAGTGCGGGTAGTCCACTCGTAAGTTTGCCACTTTCTGCGAAAATCGCGCGATGAGTGATGTTTTGTACATGGCCATTTTCAGGATATGACCGTCGTTCATGATCAACATGGATCAAACGCAGTGCTGCTCTTCTTGATGTAGCGGGCACGGTTCACCGACCGCGTGTCACGACTCCCACTCGCCTTCTCCATCGACTCCGTCGATACCATCGATCGATGTCAGCACACAGAGCAGTTGTTCGTCCGGTTTGCCTGCCTCTTGCTCGATCCACGGACGATCGTCGCATTCGGCCGCTCTCGGGCTCTGCACGGTTCACCGCAGACTCCCTGCGGCATCGACTCTACAGACAAACGTCGCGATCATTCACACTTGAGCACCTAACCTACTGGAAACCTGTACGGCCCACCGAAGGTTTTCAGTAGGGTTCCCTGCCGACGCTTGCAATGCAAACCTGGACGGTTGACCGCTGGGTTTCTCCACCGACGATTGTCGCAATCATCACATTCCACTCCTGCAACTCTGCACAGTTAACCGCGGGATCTCTGTGGTGTCGGCTCCACCATTACATTCTACGCGAGCGGCCACCTGCACGGTTTCACCGAAGGTTTCTTGCAGTGATCACTTTCGCGATGATATTCGCAATCACCACGACTCTGCATAATAACTGCGAGTTCTCCTCGGCGTTTATTCTGCAGACGGTCGTCGCGGTCCTCACCTCTGTACCTTGCCTGCTGAAACCTGCACGGTTCACCGAAGGTTCTCAGCAGCGTTTTCTGCCGACGATCTTCTAATCATCGCATTCGTACCTTACCTGCTGGAAACCTGTACGGTTCACCGAAGGTTCTCAGCAGCGTTTCCTGCCGACGATCTTTGTAATGCCGCCCTCAAGTCCTCCACGGTTCACAGTCCCACCCACTCTACAGCGGATCACCACAATTACGACATTCCATACTTACCCCACGAATTGCTGCAAAATCTACGCAGTAGTCAGCTCCAGGCCACCGACATCTTCACCTTCTACCTTGCCTGCTGGAAACCTGTACGGTTCACCGAAGGTTGTCAGCAGCGTTCCTTGTCAATGATCCTCCTAATCATCGCATTCGTACCTTACCTGCTGGAAACCTGTACGGTTCACCGAAGGTTGTCAGCAGCGTTCCTCGTCCACGATCTTCCCAATCATCGCATTCGGCCCCTATCATAACCTCCACGGTTGGCCGCACGTTCTCTGTAGTTTTCACTTCATGGACGGATGATGATCGCAATTGTCGCCTTCTATTATAGCCACTCTTTAGGCCCCCGTGGTTCCCCCAATCAATCCTTTAACTTGAAGATTACATTGGTTCATCATAAAAATTTCGACTCAACTGCGAATTCGTTTTATGAACGAAAAACCCATTGAAATCGGCGCGCTTCAAAAATACCATACAAGAGGCGGCCGCCTGGAAGACTTTCCGCAAAGAAATCAAGGCACACATCGGGTTTGGCTTTACATGCAGGATGGGGTTGTGCTCGCCCGGATTTGGTTGCATAATGCAGGTGCTGCTTGCGGTTGGACGAAGTTGGATGGACGACGGAGTGGAAGGAGCGTCATGGGGCGCGATCATCTGGAGTATGCCTACGCGAAAGACATCTGAACGTCTCCTGGAGCTCTTGGACTCTGCATAGTGATCCCCGGTCATCCCGATGACGCACGTTGCCAGACCTTGTCGTCGGCGTCGTCGCCGATCCATGTGCGTATCCCCATGCGCCATTCCAGTCACGACGACCATGCCCCCAGACCTCTCGCTCATCACGCTTGGCTCCCGGTATCACGCATCCACCTCTCTCCCCGCTGCGCGACGCATCTCAAGCCCTATCATTCATCTCACTACATTCCCTGTCCACTTCAACAGGTGCCACACTTCCCCGCACGACCTAACGTCCATCAATGCGCTGGCAGCAACCCACAACCCTCACGGACCCGTTGCGGCCATTTGCGAGGGCCGCTAATTAGCGCGATTCGTCGCGAAAACGCGCAACTTTTCATAGACTATAGTCAACACAGCACGGCGCGGCTTGGGCTAGCTCGAACGCTCGGCCTTATAAGCCTTAGCGAGTGACACTCAGTCTCTCAAACTGACACTGAACTACTCGCCTCTGAAACCGAACTCCTTTTCAGACTCATTCACCGACCCCGATACAAACAGTAACCTCGCCAGTAGCGTGTGCTACTACGTGCGCGCGGTGCTCCCCACTCCACCCTTATCGTTCTCCTCATCCGCGTTTTCTTCAAACTCGTCGCCGACCACATCCCAGCTACCGCGACAAGCTTCTGCACGCCGGCAAGCGGCGGAATTTATCGTATTTGAGGTTACGATCCCAATCACAATCATGATCGTAATCATGATCCCTCGTGGCGTGCACGCCTACCAGACGCATGTGCTTGCACCCGTCGTTACTGGTGCGCCTCTCATGAAGAGAAAGTTTGGCGCAATCGATACTGCGGGTAGCCTCGGCAATATTACGAGCGGTGAGTTTTTTTTGTTTTGTTTTGCCTGTAATTGTAGGAGTCGTGGCTGACACTCAGTATTCAGGCGCTAACGGTGCAGACGCAGCGCCTCCACCATCAATCTTTACGCTGACAAATGCTCAAGGCCAACGTATCTGCCGCCAATGCGGTACGCCAGGTCGTTACAAGGAGGGTAAATGCGTCAAGAAATGGGGTCCAGGGTCTCAAAGGCCTGGTACAGTATGGATTGGTAAGTAAGCCCCGTAAACTTCCGTTGACCTGTACTCATCTCTGGGTGCAGTTGTCGCAAAAGATGAAGCGCGTTAAGCGCCGCAGTACATTGGACTGGCGGCCAACTTCGCTATCGCCCAACACGCAGCCACCCAGCAGCAGCCACCGATGCAATCTCAACCTCGCATCATCCATTCACCACCCGAGCGCGGCATCCACCGTACAGATACTCTACCCAACACGCAGCACTCGCCATACGCGCCCAGCGAGGAGTCGTCGCTGTGCCCCTCCCCCTCCCGCACTCGTCGTTCCGCCGCGGTGGTCCTGTCCCGCCGTCACCTCCGACCATCGCGATACTTCCACCAAGTTCAAACGACGAGGCACCAGCGCCAGCGGGAGCTGCTGCCGCCCTTAGCGGCTGCGTCATCGCACGCCAACAGCCGAGCCAACTCGTGGAGCAGCGCATGCCGTGCACGTCCCGCCGCGACGCCTAACCGGCCTGCGACGCCTGCTGACGCCGCTAGCATTGGCACGTTGGCTGCGCTTGTAGCTGCCAGGAAGAAGTCGCTAATAATCGTCGAGGATTTACATGGGAACGTGCCCGCGTCGGCTGTGAGGATGAATGTTGATGGAGAGAGTAACGAGACTGGCGACGCGGATCGTGAGGCTGAGGGTGGCTGAGGGCGACGCCCGTGCGGATATGGATGCGGACACGGAGGCTGATGCGGAGGGTGAGCTGCTTGAAGCCGTCCAGGCTGCTGAGGCGAACACGAATCACAGCTCGGGCGGCGGGTGGCCCAAGGGGGAGGATTGATGGCGTGGCGTATTCGTTTTTCTTGCTTCCCCTGTCCGTCTTTTGCTATCACTGTTCATTTGGACCGGTGTACATGTTTTGCCATCATATTTGTAGTCCCCATCTCTGTTTACCATATCCCGATTACCATGGCACCTCGCTCTGCAACTGAGTTGGGATGCTCGCTGTATACCTGGACGTCATGTACCACCCTGGTCTCCTTCGAGACTGAGATTTCGATTACGCGGATGACAGCCTTCTTTCTGCTGGCCCAAACCACGAGGTCTTTCCATCTGCCTCGCCACCCGTCCGTCTCATTCCGCCCGCATCTCAATCATTATAATCACCGGCAATCCATTATCTTACAAGCACTGGAAATCTATTGCGAGGTACTTAGCTTGAGCAAAGACAAATATAAATAGGATGAATTTTCGGACCAGGGTAGAAAAATGCATGAAGTAAACTGAAACATCAGCAAATATGTCAAAGCGTCAGACATGGGCGAGTGAACTACGGAAGGGCGAGCAAAGCTTGAGTACTGGCATATTCATCCGAGATCGCAACAGCCCTTTACCCAAGGTAACAGCCTCTCATCTTTATCGATTGCTGTGCGCTCACTCCCCATTGTCAGACACTTTTCAAGGCGATTAAGACAGGAGTCGATACTCCTGTCGGAGGCTCGACTAGGTGTTGGCCCAAGAAATCGGCCGATGAAAAAATTGGCATACGCTTCGACTGGGGTAGAGCGGCTTTTAGGGACTCACACGGCTTGTGGTGGCGTATCCTTAACCTACAACTGAACGCAAACGCTGAAAGCGAGGCTATACGCAAGGCGGCTCAAAAGAACGGGACTGATGACACTCGATCCAAGATTTAGATTCCTACTATACCTAGAGGCAAGGCGCTCCACCCCGATATTAGCTCAGTTCAAAGTTGACGGAGACGGCTGGAGACCGTCGTTTCGGAGACATGTCCGCGATCAGATCACTTCGGAGATCTTGACAAACGGTGTCTAGACCTATGCTCGTACTCCGTTGGCCGCTAAAGTTCGTCATCCAAGCTCGTATTACGCTGGCTGGCGTCGCATTCTGTGCCTCTTTGCAACTTTCTATATTGATGTGCTAGCGCTCCTTGTTGTCGAGTAAGTAGCTTAGGATGATAAATGTCAGTGACTTTTTACGCCCCAATGGTGCCGCGGCAGCGAGGGAAATACGACCAAGTCTTCATGCACGTGACAAAAAGATTTGCCGACAACTCTACAAAATCTCAACAAATCGAGAAAAAATAAAATCCGGGGTCATTTGAGCGCCCTTTGTTTGGAGGGAACGACAGTCGCAGTCGCTCATCTAACAATCGAAATCGTACTTTATGTCGGATCGGCCTCGACAATCATATGATCTCAAACTTGGGCCTGACGTTGAAGATTCTATACGGGGTGAACGTCGGTACAGGTAAGCAGCTGCAGGACATAGGAAATCGACTTCATACTGGCCGAAAGAGAGCATGGGAAGGTCTTGCTTGAACAAGGGTGCCTCTCGTAGCCGATGATATTACCGTCAATCTCTACACGCAGACGATCCGAAGATGAACATGACAGAAACTTGCAAGAACGCTTACGGATACACGCATCAGCAGGGTCTATCTTACCATCCAGTCCACCAACGATCTAACCAACCAAGGATTGCACGATATTCGCGAGCGCATGTATGAAGCTCTGTTACGGCTAAGGCATGTCCGTAATCGAGTTCAAGCGACGTGATCTTCGCCTCGAGGAAACGAGCTTGATGTGACCGACTTGGTCAACGTTGTCAAGCCAGCATTGCAATATACCATCTTCAGATCCGGACTACGAGAAATCAGACGATGTACAGTTAGCTCAAATGTTTCACAAAGTCGATGCCACAGTCGACTTGGTGTCCTCTGGCGCCACGCCCGACAGAGCAGCTGATGCTGCATCAGGCGACGCATCCTTCGCAGCCTCGTTCTTGTGTGTCCCATCATCAACCCACAGCCCACCCCCGTGTATCCGCGCAACAACACTGGTCTCGTCCCTCGCAGCGTCGAGGACGCCGATTACGGCTAGGAGCGTAGCGTCGGGTGCGAGGTCTTCATCTTCGAGGTTGGACATCATATGCGCCTTGGAATGCGGCCTCAGGACAAGAAAGTGACAGAGAGGACTTAAGGGCGGCATTACAAAGATCGTCGGCAGGAAACGCTGCTGAGAACCTTCGGTGAACCGTACAGGTTTCCAGCAGGTAAGGTACGAATGCGATGATTGGAAGATCGTTGACGAGGAACGCTGGTGACAACCTTCGGTGAACCGTACAGGTTTCCAGCAGGTAAGGTAGAAGGTGAAGATGTCGGTGGCCTGGAGCCGAATACTGCGTGGATTTTGCAGCAATTCGTGGGGTAAAAATGGGAAGTCATAATTGTGGTGATCCGTTGTAGAGTGGGCGGGACTGTGAACCGTGGAGGACTTGAGGGCGGCATTACAAAGATCGTCGGCAGGAAGCGCTGCTGAGAACCTTCGGTGAACCGTGCAGGTTTCAGCAGGCAAGGTACAGAGTGAGGACCGCGACGACCGTCTGCAGAATAAACGCCGAGGAGAACTCGCAATTACTATGCAGAGTCGTGGTGATTGCGAATATCATCGCGAAAGTGATCACTGCAAGAAACCTTCGGTGAAACCGTGCAGGTGGCCGCTCGCGTAGAATGTAATGGTGGAGCCGACACCACAGAGATCCCGCGGTTAACTGTGCAGAGCTGCAGGAGTGGAATGTGATGATTGCGACAATCGTCGGTGGAGAAACCCAGCGGTCAACCGTCCAGGTTTGCATTGCAAGCGTCGGCAGGGAACCCTACTGAAAACCTTCGGTGGGCCGTACAGGTTTCCAGTAGGTTAGGTGCTCAAGTGTGAATGATCGCGACGTTTGTCTGTAGAGTCGATGCCGCAGGGAGTCTGCGGTGAACCGTGCAGAGCCCGAGAGTGGCCGAATGCGACGATCGTCCGTGGATCGAGCAAGAGGCAGGCAAACCGGACGAACAACTGCTCTGCGTGCTGACATGGATGGATGGTACCGACGGAGTCGGTGGAGAAGTGGGAGTCGTGACACGCGGTCGGTGAACCGTGCCCGCTACATCAAGAAGAGCAGCACTGCGTTTGATCCATGTTGATCATGAACGACGGTCATATCCTGAAAATGGCCATGTACAAGACATCACTCATAGCACGATTTTCGCAGAAAGTGGCAAACTTACAAGTGGACTACCCGCACTACATCTATCTGCGTGTTGGTCTTCAAATCGTTTCGAATCACTAAGAGCAGGTAGCATATGCCTGGAGCAGTAGGTGGGGTGGACTTGAGAAGGTGCGCGCCGACAAGGGTAGGAAAATGCAGGTGTGAACAACCCCATCGGAGCTTTAAGCTTGACAGGGGCTAGTGTCGTAGGGCCTCACAGCTTGGTTTCTCCTCGCATCTGAGGAAAGATCACAGCAAATTTGGAACCCTTACTCACCACTCTGAACCGCAGATAAGGTCAGATGCGTACCCATGAACCATCGGGCCTGGCACGGAGCTTATGCAAAGAGAATAAGCACCCGCTTCCCCCTTGTCAGTACTTTATCAACTTATTTATGGATGCAGCGAGCTACGATACCTATATCTGCTACTAACAGATACTATCAGAGTCATTGATTATTTTCTGCCAATACTGTAAGTTAGCGATGCGTAGTGTAACGACTAAACAAAAAAACAGTGCGAGTTGCGTCCGTGTGTGAGCAGTAGCAAGAGACAAAACCTATGCTGATTCATCCATACGGTGCTCCATATCCTCATGGCTAGCATCCACATCCATCGGGACATCCTCCTTGCTCGATCCCATTCGATCCAGTAAAGATTTAGCCCTGACGGGCTGGCCGGTGGAGGATGCTGTGGTCGGATCCGACGGGCGACCTTCCAAAGGAAGTTCCGCAGGGGCTACAACGGTACCAGCAGCTAGAGAGGAAAGTAGAAGTGTCAGTTCATTGCTCGGACGCAGGTACACAAAAGAGAAGAGAGCGTACCACCAATAGCTGTACCACCAGTCGCCTCAGCCAGAGACTTGGCCAGCAGACGTACACGTTTGGGAGGGCGAACGCGCTGGCTCTTAGTTCTTCTTATCCCCGACGCATTCGTTGCGGACCCTGGGGTCGGGAGCGCTGATGCTGCCAGAGGAGCCATGTTGAGACTCGCGTCCCTACCTCCCCGTTCGGGTGCGGGTGAATATAGCTGGGCATCCAGTGATGGGCGAGAGGACGGTAACGTCGCTGGAAGAAGCCGGTCACGTTCCTCAGTGGCGATCCCACTGCTTGAGGCTGATAACGACGACCTTGCAGATGTTGCGTCGACGTATGGGGTTTGGTCATGGCTAGTCCGCCGAGGAGAGGACAACGGTGAGCGACGATTGGGGGAACGCGAGCTGAATCGACGGACAGACGTCAAGCTACGATGGCTGGGTCGGTGGTCATCTTGACGTGAACAGCTGGGCGAAGACTCCGTAGGTGATCCGGAGGAGGCTCGTCGGGAGCTCATCCCAACTGAAAATCTCGACGCTCGGGATAACAGTGGGGAGCTAGACCGAGGAGAGCAAGGACGAGGAGGAGAACCAGAAAGAGGACATCCAGTTTGGTTGCCACGTAAGTTCTGCAACGAATCTGTACGCGAGTCCGACTTGGAGGACGGGAGCGGCCGAACTAGTGAAGCGGCATCTCCTCCTGAAGTTGACATGCTGGTCGACAGAGGTCCCATAGAATATTCCTCGTTGATGGACCGAGCTAGTGAAGCCGAATGTTCACCTTGAGTAGGCATGCTACTCATAAGGGAATCCATACAGGCATCCTCGTTGTCCGAGAGTCCCAGGCTGGCGATGGACTCCTCGTCTTCCTCATTCAACAAAGGAAATCTAGTATCCCTCTCCATATACTGAGGAGCAATGGGCGATGGAGGCGCGATAATAATTGATGGCTCCAATACCAACGATGCATCAGCATCCATCGTGGCAGATGAGGGTTTCCAAATCGTCTTGGCGTCTACCTGCAGCAAGCTGGGAGGGGCGTCTGACGCAGCTTAAGTTTCATGAGTAAGGAAGGAGGGGGACACAAGACGGTTGCACATACTCAGAGTATTTCTGATTTCCTTTGCCGGTATACCAATTGAATGGGCGGGCGTCAGAGTTGCTGATGTTGGAGAGAGAGCTGAGCCGGAAGGCGAGGAATCTGGAGGCCCAACAGGCCCCGGCGTTGGTGGGACCAATTCAAAATTGCTGGGAGAAGTCGTGGACGAAGCGGGGTCAACATCCCCGGCTGAGGTTGTACTAGGAGGTAGACTAGCGAGCGTAACTGGTGCGACAGACGTAAGATTGCCCAGAGCCTGCAAGGAGATGTCCAAGCGGAGAGGCTCAGACGAACCCGCTGGGGTTCCTAGCTTGGGATCACTCTGCGAATCTGTTGAATGCTTGGTTACAACTTCCTTGATCGGCATGGTAGTAACATTGGTCGTCCCCATTGTTGCCAAAGTGGACGCCGAGGGTGAAGGATCACGTGGGAGGGAGTTTTCAGTCAGTAGAATGCTCGAGGCTCGGAGTTTTTGCAAACGTCATCGGCGGTCCCGGCTCGGGGATGCTCGGTAGATTACTGCCAGGCAGCGGGGTACTAGGGGCCAAGGCGGCATGATAGGCTGCCAGGGCGTCATCCTGGACGGACCTCAGCTGGCCCTGGGGGTCTCGATATACAGTAGCAGGACCATAGCCAAACCCGTCGTCGTCATCGTCATCCTCGCCAACCCATGGCGAAGAAGGCTCAGGTTGTCGCGTAGTTGGGGGATCCACGACAGCACCAGCCTTCGGCGAGGAAGGTTTGCGATCTGGGTACATCCAGTGGGACGGGGGTACCTGTCGGAGAAGCGGGTGCTTGTCCTCAGGACGAAAGTACCGCAGTCTAGGAGCAGCCCGTCCGTATCCCTCATTGTTAGGGCCTTCGTCCGCCGTAAATACGAAGTCGTGCGGAAAATAAATTTCCCTGAGGTTTTCACGATCGTAGTTTACGAAGGGGTAATCCTCTGTCAATTTACTCTTCTTGCCTACCTGACGCACTATCCATTTGCGAGGATCAAATTCATCGTCGTCCTCCTCCACAATCCATTTTGTCCAGGGGCCGGGCTTCAGAGCCGCAACCGGCGGGGGTTGAATCCAAATGAATGAAGATCCGTCTGGATTGGTCAGCTGAACTTGGCTCAAGGTTGGCGCAGGAAGCGAGCGCAAACGGCGAGACATGGAAAGGCGACGCCCTTTGTACTCGAAGACATCTTCATAGGACGTGGGACGTGAAGGCGCGGGAGCTGAAAACGTGGATTCCTCGGTACGTATGATGGCAAAATGGCTTGTTGACGACCGGCGATTGGCGGGAACAAGACGATAACCCTGAGCATTGGGATGCGTTAATGGGTCGATGAAGGTGCTACGAGCCCCGCGGTGACTTTCCGGGAGCACCTCAGAATCCGGAAGGTCGGTGAGTTCTAGGAGGCGGAGGCCGTGATGAAGGGCCTCCCTCTCATAAGGGTTGCAAAAGGAGCGAGTGAAGTATTCTTCGCGTTCGGAGGCGGAAATGAAAGTACGAAGTGGCAGAGAGGAGGAGGGTGAAGAATATTGATCTTGTTCGCTGTACATGTGGAGGACAAAACAGGGCGCTAATCCGGTGGTTAGGAAGAGCATAGCGTCGAACTCGCTGACTGCGGTGAGCCAGACGCCAACAAAAAAACGAGGTGAGGGGCAGAGCTGAATGTTTCGGTTGCGGAGAGAAAAGGTGGTCTCAGTGGGCAAGCGCAGGCGAAGTTCGGCATATTTGCACCATGCATACTTGAATCGAAGACCATCCTGCACCCGACGCAGCGCGTCTACGCACTCCTGATAATCAACAATGCCTTCTAAGGCTGAAACATGCCCTTCTGTTGGAAAGATGGGCCGGAGCTCCCAAAGAGTACCCGAACGCTTCATTCGGGGGTCGGGGGAGGAAATGATTCGCTGGTCTTTGGGAAGCGCAAGGTCGTCACGGCGCGCACGATCCATGCGTTTGTCTATGTCATGATTGCGTGAGCGCAACGCGGTGGTCAGTGACTTCGTGATCCCCGCGTTCCAGTATTGATCGGAGAGGAGGGAAAAGAACTCCGGCCATCCATCGTTTATGCTTCCCAATTCGTATGGCGCAAAAGCAAGCCAAGGCATATCCGGGTCATACGCCTGAGGGAAGATTGTCGGATCGAAGCGGCCTAGCGTCCCATCGTATCGAGGCGATGGAGTGTTGTGTTCCGACTTGGGCGGGGCACGGCCGGGGTAGAAGTCGAGAAAAGTGGAATTAGGTGACCAAATCTCGGCATGAGCGTACTCTGTCACTACGAGCCGACCAGCATAGGTATAGTTAGCCGGAGGAGTGGGGAACCGAAAGGTCACTGGGTCAGTCCACACTGGCGACTGCTCAAGTCCAGCCCCGCAGCGGAGGCGATCTGCATGCACAGGTCGGGAGGACGATGCCCAAGGCATTTATGAAGGAGTGATATACGACGAGGGAGTAAGGCACGATGAAGCAATGAGCGACGGTTGAGAAGTGGAGAACGGAAGATTTCACGGAACCGTACACGGCTCTTGCCGAAGCGACGTTCAGTCGGCATTCAGCCCTCCTTATCTGCTTGTATCCAACCACCGTACATAGGTAACTATCAAGTATTAGATTTTACTTTGTTTGGAGCTGCGCTACACCTCCTATCCAACGCAATCACAAGTTGTAAGTTGAGCGCTGAGCGCTGAGTCCAAAGTGATTGCTAGTATAGTACATGCGGGAAAGTATTGTGTCATGGTGAGCTAGGTGGGTATCGTAAGGCGAGAATAATGCTACAAAGTTGGTGGTTGCAAGCTGAGTATTGAATCTTGATAGTTTGCTAGAGCAATGCTTTGCGTACGTGGGGGAAAAGATCGTGCAATGGTGAACTAGATGAGGAATGCGTGCGCTATGTGTGGAAGTAGACTTTTGTAGCGGTACGAATACAATGCATGGGTAGGTTCAATGAAGGCGTGCACGGAGAGTTGCGCCTATGCAAGCAAAGTTCATATCACTGAAGGCTAGGTGTCGGGAAATCGATGGCGAAAGGTGCGGAGCGCACTCAAGTCAGACGTCTGACACGCTCCGCAATCATTTCCTCCAGCTGACGCCAGACCACACCGACGGTGTCGCCGCTCGCTGGGGCGCGCTGAACAACAAGCTGGACGAGGGCCTGCTCCTTGAGGTTGGCATCAAACGCGGCCGGGCTGGCATTCCGGGCGTTGGCGGTTTTGCCATCAGAGCGTGAGCTGGAAGGACCAGCACTGTGTTGGATGGCGATTTTTGTTTACAAGTATTCAATACAGAGAAGGCGGTAAAGTGACTTACGTCGAGTTCACGGCTCGGGAGTGGCTGCCGAGTTGCCGAGTTGACAACAGGCGAGCGGACCAACGAGGCAGTCTGAGCCTTCTGTGGGGGTGCGGTGTGCGGTGGAGGCTGGTCCCGCGTTATCGGCGCAACAGCGAATGGGAGGTATCAACGGACGGGACGTGTACTGTCGGGGAGCAAGCGATAGATTGGTTAAGTGGGTTTATGAGGAGAGGAAAAGACGGCTTACCTCAGGGTCGTGGCGCGAGGTCGTCGAGGTGGAGCCGCTGGCATATGAACGGACACGGTCGGGAAGCCTGCTGCATATGTTGTTGAGAGGCCCGTTAGCGGCATAGAATAGAAAGTCTACCTCAGAAGCACGGCTTGACGAAGGCTGCAGAGCTGACGACGACTTCGTAGCAGAGAATGATGGCTGGCCGGCTTTGGCGCCTTCCCCTCGAGGACATGGACATCGTGGTGGTGCTGTTGAAAGTGCCCGTGAAGGGCCTTCGATTTTCTCTGGGTGAAATAATATTGAACATAGACTTTGATTTTGTCTTGGCGGTTTGGAAGATCGAGTTGAGGGAACGCAGCACAAAGCTTTCGCGGCGTTATTGAAGAGGCACACTAGGTGCTTAACGCAGTCCGGTACTCATTCCAGGCCTGAGCCGGCATGGCAGCAATTTTGGCCTTCGTATCCAACAGAAATAAAGCGTCCGCCATACGCCGGGCATGATTCTTGAGAAGAAATGTAAGCAAACATATTTGAAGTTGAAAGGGCATGCTCACCATGGCCGACCTATATGTCAGCGGCTGATCAACCATACCAAAACACTCTGCGAGATGGGTGATCTGCAAGAATGCATTCTAGTATGATATGCTTGCTTTGAAATGTGTACTTACAGAAGTTGACATGGTACAAAAGCAATCGACCGTAGCAGATGAAAAGCGTTAAGAGTCCAAGCGAGTACGGAAACAAAACCAGCGACGTTAATTGTTATGCGAGCGAAAGACGAAAAGCAAGAGTCAACGCGTTTGGAAGAATGGATGGGTCAGGAGGAACAAGGTGGACGTGGTTGTGGTTGAAAGGAAGTTGAATCGCTCCGACTCAGACTCGAGGCAGCGCCTGTCAGCGCGTGTTTCGCGTCAGGGACTTCAAGTTGCCACATGATCGTGTGCCCATTTTATCTTATTACGGTAATAGGGAACAGATGATTCGGAGCGCAATTTGACGAAATCCGCTACCACAGTTCAACCTCGCTCAACCAGTTGCTGTCACCATGTCCAGCCCTTCCAGAATGTCCGAAACATTTCACGAAACCATTCACTCTTATGCCTATACCTCAGGCTCTCGCTCTCCTTCCGTGAAACTGCCTCGCTCACCGCCCAGGACCACAGTCACCACCGAAGTAGTTCAACGAGGCCTCAGAACCCTTCAGCTCGTGATGGAATGGCCGAAGGTTCAGGATAACCCCGAGATTCTTGAAAACCTCCAAGAATTGGCTTCGGCTGTCGTGGGCTATCAAGACCACACTCAGGACCTCACCAACCAACTCGCAGACTCGCAAGCAGCACTCGCAAACTCGCAAGCAGCACTCTCCGAAAGCAACGCGAAGTTTAACACGAAGTTCTTCGAGTTCGCTGAGGACCTCATGCAAACCAGAAGGGAAAGCAAAGAAACAATCGATAAGCTTATGAGAATCATAGCGAGTTTGGAAGAGGAGAAGAATTTCGGCTCCCAAGTGTGCGTCTTATCGTCTATTAATCGTCGCCGAGCATGCTATTGACGCTTGAACTTCAGCGGGCCCCGTCAACTTGCGCCGAGCGATTCAGTGTCCAGGTTGCAATCTTCCGACTCTCAGTCGAGGCGGTCACCTCTTGCGGCAATGCCACCTCCGTCCGACGTTGACGTACCGTCTTCTTCCGGAGTTGACGTACGCGTGCCACCTTCGACTTTTAGGCGGTCACCTCTTGCGGCAATGCCACCTCCGTCCGACATTGGCGTACCGTCTTCTTCCGCAGTTGACGTGCCACCTTCGTCCAATGTTAGCGTGTCACCCTTGGATCCCAGTGGCTCTTCCTTGCAGCTTCCTTTCAACATGCAGCCTCCTATCAACTTGCCGTTTCCTCCCAACATGATGCAAGGTTCGGCCCTGCCCCAACCACTGCAACATCCGGTAGGAAGGTTAGTCGCCGTATTCTATCAGCCCGGAGTCAATGCTGAAGTCTAGACTAGTGAGCAAGTTTATTCCAATCTACCCGCCCAGTGCTTCAGCATTCTCGACTACCTCACGAAAGATGACCTTCAAAACTGGAAATATGCCAAGTATGAGCCTAGTCGAGCCCGATTCTCTAACATTCGCGAGGAAGTAGTCCTATGGACTGAAAAACTCGCTCTATCCGCTCGCGAAGCAGAAGGAAAGACCGGGGGGTCGGGGTCTGAGGCGACCTCGTCGAAGAGGTATAAGATTGCGAATAGCAGCATCAGGAATACGGACGGAGCACCAATCTCTTCCAATACGGCCAGTGCCATCACGCATCATGCTCGGCGGATTATGGAAGTCCTAGCCAGCGGTGTTCCGCTCACGAACAAACTGCAGGATATTAAGCATACACCAGCGTGGTATGGTGCGATTGCTCTCCTTGAAGCAATGTACCCTATCTTGCAATTATGCGATGATCATTGGAAAGCCTGTCATTTTCTGTCCGCGGCAATGCACAAACACACCAAGAAGCCAACCTCCGCAGCAAACGATACATCCTCTAGCGCTGGCCACGTAAAGCGCCTCGCCTCGGAGGTCGCCTCGGAGGGGACGTCTTCCCGTAAGAAAACGAGAACGCATGGGACACGGGGACGGGCCGGAAAGGCTGGTGGTTCTAGTTCTGACCACTCCGGAACCAGTGGGTCTCTCCTATGCATTGAGTTATTGCTAAGCTGACGAGTCGGAAACAGTGAAACAATAAAATTTGGCCAGACTACGGTCTCATGAATTAGGCCAACCGATGGGCGCTACAGCTTAATTCACCCTCTCCGACCCTCTCCAATTTCGATGCATCCTTCTGCGCTTTTTTGATCTAATCCATTCAACTTGCGTGCCTTCTTTACCAAATCACAACATCGTTACCTTATAACATGTCGCTACATTATATTGTTCTGCGTCGACGCTGTGGTCGTCTAGTTGCCAGTGCGTGCCTTGTCCTGAGACTGAACCGTCGTTTACTCGTGTTGTAGCCGTATTCGTCTCGCTGCATCCATGATAAAGTACTGACAAGGGGGAAGCGGGAGTGGCGGTGGTGCTTATTCTCTTTGCATAAGCTCCGTGCCAGGCCTGATGGTTCATCGGAACGCATCTGACCTTATCTGAGGTTCAGAGTGGTGAATAAGGGTTCCAAATTTGCTGTGATCTTTCCTCAGATGCGAGGAGAAACCGATTGTTATGGTTGCGATGACGGCGCTCGCGCTGATGGGCAGTGGGAGGCGGAAGGACACTTCGCTGTGTTCGGTATATGGCGAGATTTTGTTCTGCAAAGCGCGTTAACGCCGGGTGGGCAGGAGTTAGCTACCCAGGTACTTGTGAGCGTCGAAACGAAAAGACAGACGTCAACTAACCTTACGTGGTCTTAGTTCACGACGAGATTGGTCCTGTTTGTGAACGCACCCGCTCCCGGCCATGACGATCTTCAAGCACGAGTTCGCTCAGGTCAAGCTTGATTTCAATCTTCTGTCCTCGAAATCGGAAGCACTGCTCGTGATACTGCCAAGGCTGCCCGAACCGTCTGAACAAGCCCTGCGTGCGCGATGACATGGGCGATAGTAGCGCAAAGGTTTGATGGGATTGTGCCATTCGGATGGGGAGAATGCTCCTCGCCAGTGGCGGCAAGGAGACCAGGCTGGGTGTGGATGTAAAGGCGTAGAATAAATGAAGGAGATATGTCGCGTATGACAAAGTGCCTGCACACCAGGTGTTTGTTTGGCTGGTGTTTGGCAAATGTGGGCGTGGGACAGCAACCGCCAGCTGCCGCAATTTGAACTTTACGCCCTTTACGCCGCTTGCCACAGAATGACAGCCACACCTGCCGTTTTTATGAAAGGTTCGTTTATATACAGTGTGTTGCATAATAAACTGGACAACGCCGGATCTGAAAACTGTTTGTTTGAGTTTGCTCGTGACATGTCACGCATCAAGCGCCGGGATATTAGCAGTGATATCACCGTATCAGCTCGTACTCGTTATGGCACCTCACTTATCGAAAGATCTGCGTGAACACATTCTCGTTTGGCGGTATGAGCAGAAGAAAGAGATGGAAGAAATAGCGCAGCTTGCTGGGTGCTCCAGAAGCACGGTTTATTCCGTCCTCCAACTTGATCGAGATTATGGCATCGTCAGTAACCCATTCGCGCGCCAGAGAGGACGCCATCGTGCCCTGGTTCGGATCAGCACACAGAGCGGATGGCTAAGGACTTGTGTGCGTTCACAGCCGTCGCTGTTGAGCCCATTCATGGCGGCGACATCGAAAGGCACGATATCAGGTAAGCGCCGGGGGAGCGTGATGATCCTGTCACAATCAAGCAAGAACAAACACATTTTCACGGGCGATCAGTCCAGTTTATTATGCAACGCACTGTAATATCCGCCATTGCTGCCTTAAGCTCATGCAATGGTTTAGTTGAGTCCTCCGCGGCCGAGGTCTTCATCAGCAATCCCAGCACGAATACATCGTCACTAAACGGAACAGATATTCTAAGGCAAAAGGGGACGAGTGTCATACTCGAAGCCACATCAGCCTCAAAGATACGCCGCCCAGGTCCTGAGGCCTGGAAGGACTGGGGATACTTGACACAACTGGGCGAGACTTTTCGTGTTGTATACGTGCGCCTGTTTGGTCAAACTCCTCCCCTTTCCCGAGGAAATCCTGGCGACATCTGGGTCGACACCCGTGACCGTAAGATTTATTATTCCGACCATCTCCAGGTCTGGCAACCTTGGAGAGGACACGAAGATAAGGTCTTTCACCCCATCGTCATTGGATATGAGCTACTCTGGGACGCCCTGAAGAAAACGATATCCTGGGCTTCTGCGACCACAGCTAAAAGACGAAAAGTACAGAAGAATAATACCTCCACCCTCCCTTCCTTAGACATTTGGAATCACTTGGCCGCAATCGATGAAGCAGGACCTAAGCGTCCTCGTCATATTGACATCGCCCCGCCAAGCATCCCTGAGCAAATACTCGCAATCCTTGACTCCGAAAATCTCCTTTCTTTTACTGGCGAATCACCCCCGGATTCAGCTTACAGTCATGTTCACCACGATCCCTCAACCAAGTTGCTTCCAACTGCAATCCTAACCTACACCGGGATATGGAAGCAAGATTCAATCGTCCGTGCCAAAGGAACTCAATTTCCGGAGGATGCGTCAATCTTAACATGGTTCATTGACGGAGGGCTCGAAAGCGAGGTGCGCTATGTCGCCTCTCCCCGTGACCGTTTTCGCTGAGACTTGCGATGTCAGGCCAAGCCTGACCGCGCGCGCAAGCTGGCGACGCGCTTTGGGCGATGGATTCGGGACGATGTCGACGGAGAACTCGAAAGCAAGGTTCGCTATATCGCCTCTCTCCGTGTCCATTTTCGCTGAGACTTGCGATGCAAGGCCAAGCCGAACTGGGATTCGACGTTTCGTCCACTCTCGCTCGGCGTAAACGGTATGCAATCCGGGACAGTATTCCTATCAGTATTGACATCACATAGAAAGCAGCCCATTTTCTTGGTATTCACTGCGGGCACCCAACTATTTTTCTGCCCGAAAAACCCCGTGCGAAAGAGGGTTTGTAGTTTCTGACGGGTTTTCCTGTCAGGAATGCGTAGTTTTTTTCTGCTCGTAAAATTGTAGAAATAGTATGAGTTTTCCCGCAGTTTTGCTGAGTGGAAGATGTTGAGTTTTTCTTTACATTTTGCAAGTGTTAAGACTATCGAAAAATGATGGTTTTCCCTGTAAGAAAAACATAACATTTCCCGTAGGGTTTTCCTAACGGAAAAATGTCAAGTTTTTCGAACGGTATTTCGGTAGGATTTCCTCAAAGTTTTTCGGAGGGGTTTCCGCATTTCCCCGTTATTCTGGTGGGAAATTGGTAGGTAATGCTTGATTTAATGTCAGAAAACTTTGAGGATTTCCGGCAGAAAACCTTTCGAAAGACTTGGCATTTTTCTATCAGAAAAACCACCCAAAAAATGTTACGTTTTTGTCACGGGGAAAACAAATCATTTTCCGGTGGTTTCGACAGTTGCAGAATGCAAGGGAAAACTCAGCATCTTTCTCTCAGCAAGACTATTGAAAAATGCATATTATTTCTGCCATTTTGCTGGCCAGAAAACTCTAAGTATTCCCGGCCGGAAAACCTGCCGGAAACTACAAACCCTTTTTCCCACGCAGTTTTTCGGGCGGAAAGATAGTTGGGTGCCCGCAGTGATTCACGCACCGCTCGACGCTCCCGACGCTCCCGACGCCCTGCATTTTTCCTTGTCACGCTGTCACAAGCGTCTTGTGGCACTCTCCCGGGCGATCATCGGGCGACGAAGCGGGCACCCAAGCGGGTAACGACTTTAGCGGCAGCTTGAACTTCAAGTTTCTGCTTGTCATTTAGCCCTGCGTAAAACTTCAAATTCAGAGCGTGTTCGAATGCTTAGCCAAACCCCTAGAATTACCACACATTTAGCCTTACTGTAAATTTGATGTTTTGCCTTGGGTTTTGTCTTCGTCCAAATGTTTATATTTGCTACACATTTTACACCGGCGAAACGTGCAGCAAAAATAAGGATTTAACCTCGCGCTAAACTCCAAGTTTGGCAAAAAAAATTGCCACGCCTCAAATGTTTTTTTTTCGACGTTTGACCAAACATTTAGCCTCCCCTTAAATGTTTGGCTAAACTTCATCAACGCCGCCGGTAGTGTTGCCGCAAGTCAAGTTCAAGTTGAACTCGAGTTGACGTCCCTGGAAAATCGAGTGAACTCGAGCTGTCAACTTTGACGGCTCGAGTTGACTCGAGTCGAGAGCTCCTTCCTATTCTGTAAGGACAATGTCATAGATAAGATAACAACACATTTGACACTACGGTATTTCAAGAGACAATGCATAACCATCAATCTTCGCGGTATACAGAGGGTGTATCAAAGAAAGAGGCAATCTCTTCGACAGACTCAGTTAAGAGATTATTGATTTGACCAGGCTCCACCCCCTCCTCGTCCAGATCGGCCTCCGTGGCCAGAAATCGCGCGGTGAAAGGAATGCGTTCCGAGCGGTAAAGGTACTTTAGGACTTGGAGTACCTCCATCGTCAACGGAGATGTCTTGGACCGACGTAACACATCTGTTTCCTTGCTGGACGAAAAAACCTGCTCACAAGGCACAGCTGAAGCTTGAACCGGCATGACGTCGAGAGCAACACGAAAGAGAAGGGGGAACTGTCGCTGGTTCTCTTGTAGCTACGAGAGAAGTCGTACTGTTAGCTTTGTGATTGCATAAAGAGCATAAATGGTAATTTACACTCCAGGAGTCAACGAGATCGAACCGCAGCAGCTCCGCATCACTCGTAATGACACCGGCAGCAACCCAGCGATTATATTTATCAGCAACAATTTCGCGGTCTTGCGCTTCAATCTGCTCCGGCGTGAGTGCTGCCGCCGACTGTGAGGGTGCGTGGCTGGAAGGAGATGGCTCGGTGGCAGCGTTATTCTGGGAATACGACCTTTTGAGAGCCTTGATTCGTGCATAGCCCGATGCTTGCTTGGAAGCGGCCGACGGTGCATAGTCCCGTCGTGTTGGGGTCCCGCTCGGAGTGGCAATTGATGGGGAACCCCGGTTGTGACGAACTTTCTGAAACTCCATCATCTATTGAAATATGAGCAAGCTACTCAATAACAACTTGTGTTTGACTTACAGCATCTTGAACCCATTTGACGGCAGTGGCCGCTTCTGTAGTTGAGCGCTTGCGAAGCCAGTCCATCTTAGTCACCGGATTGATGGCTTCCAATTATCAAATCCTTGTCTGAAATGGAAAAGAAGTTGAGATGTGCTTACCCATCGCTAGCGTGTATAGCCGAGTGCCACGCGCCTTGTCCATGTACTCACGAAGCTTGTCAACGGAGGCTGCAATTGCATGTGCAAGGTTTGGCAGGTGGATTTTGAGGTCCTTGAGCATCTCGATCAAATCCTCGTACAACGGGAGCACGATTGCAAGAGTCGGTGTCTTCTCTGCAGACACAATCTGCTGGACTTCATGAAAAGCCTCAAGGAACTGGCAGATATCATTGAGCACGCGCATCTCGAGCTCGTCGAGCAAATACTCGTCGAGGGAGGGAACTTTCTCTTGAACAAATTTTGTAACCGCCTGTGAATCAGAATTAATATTTTTCGCATTCATGCAAAGCAAATTGAACTTACGGGATACAGACGTAAGAGCCGATTGATCATGAGGTAAATCGATGACCAACGCGTGTCGACATCGCGAAGTAGCACAAGCTCAGGCATGGGGTCAGAACCCCACACTTGGGCGATGTTTCCTTCAATGATTGTCTCCTTGAATGTTTCGCGGCGTTGACCTGAGCTTCGGCAGTTCCTGACGAGCTTCCTGGCCTTGTCAACAGGGTCAGCCTCCAGCGTGTCGTGGTACTCATCATCACAATCGAGCGGGCGCGAGCTGATGGGACCAATTTCGAGCACAGATGCCTCTGCATCCTTGTCCGGCAATTTGACACTCATGTGCTTGAGCCCTGTCTTCACCGAAATGTTGATAACGTGCGGGAAACACCTAGCACACAGATTCAGTAGCCAGGAATCACGAAGAGTAATATGGAATACCTGATGCGGTTGCCATCCCGATCAAAAGGGATGCCCTTTGCGCGGAGAAGGCGCTCAAGGGCAGCCATCATCGTGTTGTTGTTCGATGCATTATCCAGCGTGATAGCCCCAATCCACAAATCATAATTTGTTAGCGGATGAGTGGAATAGAAAGGATTTTGTAAACACTAACCCGCTCAGTTGCACCAACCTCCTTGAGGACTTGCATAAATACCTTGGCAAGGTTCTCGCCGTCATGACTACCCTGCAGACGTCGAAAGGCTATCAAGGTAGACCGAAGTCGCAGTGATCCGTCGGATGCTTCGATCATGTAATGTGCTGTGATCGCCATATAACCTTCGAGCGTGACACGAGACCAGACATCGGACGTGAAAGAAACACGCCCGGCAGAGTTCTACCCATATGAGTTAGCGGGATTCAACTCAATGGTACTTTTACTGACCTGAATTTCCTTGGCCATCTTGCGATAAGATATCTGGAAGGCCTCGGTGATTTTTTTCTTGAGCTCTGTTCGCCCGGGGATATCCTTATCTGTGAGATTACCCTGCCCAACAAAGCAAAGAAGGTCGCGAAGCTCCGGTGATTCTATCACATTGATAGCCTCAAATAATTTTAGCACCCGGTATAGCTTAGCATAGTGAGTAAGTGTAACATACCTGATCGTCTACAGCGATCCACCGAATAAGTCGATCGAAGAAGCCTTGAAGCGAGAACGGCTCGTGATGATGATCTTGCAGTCGCGAAGCATGACCATCGTTGATGGTCTCCCAGTTTTTCAACTTGAGCCTGATAACGTCGTCTCGCCATTCATTGAAGTGGTAGGATTCCAGGTGCTTGCGGATGTTTGAATTGGCGCCGGCGCCATTGGCCCAAGTGGTCCATTGGTCCGATGAGCTGTTAATCAATTAGCCAAGTGATTAAAGAAAAGATGAATCAGGGCTAGACTTACGGACAAGACCGGCAAGCAAGCCGAGCGCCGTCACCAACAGGCGGCTGCTCCTTGTAGCGTTTATCGGTGTCGTGTCGTGCGGGGCAGTCTGCCTTCTTAGCAGAAGGGACGGGGCGTATGAAGTACCAAACATCTGATGCAGCCCAGGATGCGCGATCTGATGGGCTACGGTTTTGGAATCCAGGATGGGCCGAAGGCTCGGCGTAAGTGCTTTCCGAAGGGATGGGACCATATCCTGTAGCCGCTGGTATGCGCGGCGGCGGTTGTTGCGCTTCGGGAAGGTTTTGGAGCATTGGCGGCGGCGGCGGCTGAGGTGGAGGTTGGACAGGAGGCGGAAGAGTTTGTGTTGGGTAAACTGGGGGTAACTGACGGGATACAAGCCCAGCAAGCCGTGACGGCGGGCGAGGCATTAGTGGCGCTTGCGAAGCAGGTGGAGTGTTTTCAGCATCCTGGCGGCGTTTCTTGGGTCTACCTCGGGGAGCCGCGTTCGCCGACGCGCGTTTACGAGTGCCGGCCTGCGAAGCTTGCGTGGCCGGATATGACGACAGATTCAGTCCGACTGAAGAAGAATGAAGGGGCGAAGGCGACACAGGTGACTGTGAAATAGATAGCGATGGATCTACGAAAGTGTGTGGGCGATAGTACGACGACGTTTGCGGGGCTGGATGTGATGCTTGACTGATCTGGATCATGGGGGTATACTGAGGCTGTAGGGGCTGCGTTAAATGATACGGCGAGGCAAAGTAAGTTGAGTGCGGCGCGTTCCATTGCGACTGAGAGACGATGGACGGAGGTGTACTAGGTCGCGACTCGAAATCGCGCGCGCCGGGGGAAGAGTCGCGCATGGCGCGCAAGTCGGGCTCGCGAGGATCATTGTCCATTGGGGGGAGAAATCTGTTTACATGTTATTCGCGCCGTTCGCGTTTATATCTTGCACTGCGCCCGTGGTGTGCGTGATCGCTCGCGTCGAGAAAAGGGTTTAAACAAAGATTTTTGCAAATTATTGAAGGTACAATCAAGGGCGCTTTGGCCATTATGACAGCGGGCTATCCTATGGATCCCATAATGGTCACCGTACACTAGCGAGAAGTTGAACGGCGTTGGTGCACGCCAGGCGCGGCGTCGATGAAGTGGATGAAGGGAGTATACAAGGTGTGTAAAGCGCCCTAGACTGATAAGATCGTGGCGTATTAGTCACGCTCACGGGCAGCACGTGGAACTCGATTTATCACTCGAGTTTGACAGGCTCAAGTCGACTCGATTTTTACATCTGTCATAATCTGACAGCTCGAGTTGACTTGAACTCGAGTTCTTGGGCTCAGTGGCTGTGTGCTGAGTCAGCGAAATTCCAACCGCAGTCGCCGTAGTCAGCCACCGTGACAAAGTTGTCTTCAGCACATACTTGATCATGCCCGTCGCTCTGCCTGAATTGACGCAGGACCGCCTGCAGGTTCTCAAAGTTCCTGATGATCCCCCGAATCCGGCCAACGTAGCAAAAGCCTACATCTTACTTAACCAAGCCTCCAGCCGCGCTAGTGAGAGACAAATATTCACTATCAGCCTCTATTTCACTGTGCCGGACTCAACCATGAATTTGTCTATATAGTTCACTACCTCGATGGTCGGCTCATCAGCGACGACGATATTTGCAAGGTGGCGACATATGCCACTCAGCTCATCACTACCAGGACCGGTAAGCAACGCGGCATTTTTCCTTGCCCAGCCTACCTCACGTCTCGATTCAGGTCGCCCGGATATTCGTGACGAAGTGGTGGCTGCCCTTCGTGACACCATGCCAACCCTTTTACAACCTGTTCGAAATGATATCACGCGCGTAAAAACAGAATTAGCCGGTGCTCGACGGGATATAAGGCGAAATGGCCGTCTCATTGGTCTTGTAAGCCATCACCGCTCCAACTCTCTCTCTCGACCGTGCACTTATTGAATCTGTGTTTTTAGACATGGAATGGTAACTCTCGGCCTACAGACACGGCCACGTTTGAGATTGTCCCGTTTCCCAATTTTGAGGACCCGACTACTGCTCCTGTATGTCCAACTTTACGTCTCATCTTGCATGGGTTTCTCATTGCCCGATACCCAGCACAATCTCCCCCCTCTGCATTCACCGCAGGCTATCGACGAGTTAGGGCCTCATCACTTGCGGGCTTACGTTCGAGGTTATCACCCCAATCTTCAAGCACCTGGCGATAGAAATGAATGCATCAAGCTAGTTCTGACCGGGATCGGTGCCTACGGACATGTCCGCGAGTAGTTACTCTGTACCTGCTGTAATCTGTCTACCGTACCTCTGATAACATAGAATGCAAGTTGGATTTGTGAATTATGGATCTTCGCCCCCGTGGGCTCCGTATACACCCATTTGGTCGATTCAGCAGCGTCTGCGACCTTTTTGGCCGCAATAGCGTGAGCATCGAGCGCCGCGGCTGTATAGCTTGTTGGATACGCTGCTCCAGGGGCCGTGATCGTTTGAATGGCTCGGTCTGTTCACATGGGGCTGTAGAAAAGGGGGCCTGTACACAGGAGGCTGATGCTGATGCTGGACAGGAGGCGTAGAGGGCGGCGCCGGGCAGGGCTCTGGAGGTGGGGGACCGTGATCTTGCTCCCCAACGCTGAGGCGGCCATTCTGTTGCATCTCCAACGCCGCGACAGCATCTTGTCTGAATGAAAGCGGTCCGCCGTCTGCTCCTCGATCCTGGCCTCTCTGAGCCTCACAGTCAGCTCGTGGAGGCGATTCTTGTCGATCTGGGGCTGAGCCAGAAGGTTATTGAGATCGTTAACGGCCTGCACAAGCTTCCGTGCTGACTGAGCGTGATAGTGGTGCGCGCCAGCTGCTTCGTGCATTGTGTGCCACATTTTCAGAGCACCCGGGTTGGCGGAGCGCATGTTGAACGGTAATATAGGAACCTGCTTGTTGACATGCGCAGGGGGCTGGGGAAGGTAAAGGCTACTAAGTATGAGGATGGGCGTGCCCTCCGTCCCGTTGGTTCACCAAGGTTTGTGCCTCGGTGACCCTCCGGCCGGCCTGCGCTTCTTGGAGCCTGGCCGCTCGCAATCGGGTGCGTCTATCTTGCAGCTGAGCCTGTTTAGCAACGACCATGTTTTGTATCGCGACGGTGCGAACTCGCTGAAGAAGCCCAATGCGGGCTTGGTAGACACCGTACTTGGTCGCTTCAGCAGCCTCTGCCACACTATTGGCAGCGATGGCATGAGCTGCAAGCGCGGCGGTGGCAGCCAGCTTTGCCTACTGGATTCGCTGCTCGAGGGAGCCACGTTGGGCCTCGGTTGCGTCCGTACTTGGGAGAAGCGTACCGGTGATGTGGTCACCGTGATCTGGCAGGACAAGATGAAGTGGTCAGGAGGACGTAGCAAGCGGACAGATGAGAAGGAGTACAATTAACAAGCGATCTGCGATGGAGCATGAAGCGTCGGCGCGCGAGTTTAGCTCGTTGAGGGCCTTGGATGAACACCAAGTGAGCATGCAGGATGAACTGACGTGTGTGGAGACGTACAGCATCAGCGACTGGCGCTGCAGACACGATCTGCGACAAACAGAAGGCGACGATAATCGCCGCTCGCAAAGAGGACCCCATGGCCCGGGTGCACTTGTACCGTGAAGGGTACGAGTGTAAGAAAAGTACCTGATACAAAGGTCGGGTACAAGTTGATTATGCACCAAGAGAGTGTTCACAAACAAAGAAATGGTACGTGCATTCGAACTCGGAGTCCTACATAGGTTTTAAAATCTGTATAAACCAGCGAGTAATGTCAGAATACTTCAACATTTTTGCTTTTGCTGAGCGCGCCATCCGAATGCTGCATTCACCAGAGTCAGACGCGGAAGCTCCCCAGCGTGGCTCTCGCATGCTGCCGCATCAGGAAATCCGTACTTTCATATTTGAATATAATTCTCGCGGGTGTATAACTAATACACAAATGAGAGTCAGTATGCTAAAATATCCTCAAGTATCCCAGAGTAGATATAATTATTTGCGGCCCGCCAAAGTATGGCTAGAATATAGAGGATTAGATTCGAATATGGTGATCGATAAACCGCCTGATATAAAAACTTATCATTGACCATGTCCTAACTAAAAATACGGCAATATACACCGCATCAGGAGGCCCAAACTTGGGGAGGATGTTGCCGCGTCATGGAAGTCTGTTTGTGCACGAGTAGGACGAAGCCAACGGCTCGGTCAAATCAAGTCAGGGCGTGGGGGCACCAGACGGACGGGCATGGGGCATGTGCAAGGAAACAACCGGGTTGCGGGACACGCGTGGAAGCGCACGCATGCGGCAGGTGCACGGGTGTGTAAATGCGGCGGGGGTTAGCAAGCGTTAGAGGTGGGGAACAACCAGGCTGCGTGAAGCGCCTGGAAGCGCACGCAACGTGGCCGTTACACGGGCAGGTGGGCTAAGGGTGATGTGGATGTGACGGGGATCAGCACACGTCAGAGGTGTAGCAGCAGCGAGAGCTGGTACATGCTGCAGTCAAATACTGCTTGCGCGGATGTAGCCTGCTAAAGTGTTCAGAACACAGGTCCCAGATAAGCAACTTTGTCACTCACCTGTATAACATACCTGCAACCCAACTTTTCAACCAATGCTTTCAGCTCCTGACGTATAGGCTTTCATTGAATAGCTATAATGGATCGTGAGGGTGAAGCGTTGTAGTGACGCGCTTGAGCTTGCACTGGAGTCGTTACGTTGAATATTGAATTTGGTGACCGATAGCGTGGCTCCAAGGGATACGCTGAAGCGCATGGAAGGCACATACATTATTGATGAATTGACACTGACTGGGGGTGACGATGGAGCCAACCGAACATTACTGGTGCGCAAGGTTAGCAAAATGGTGAAGTCTCGATGGACGGCCCTAAATCGTCGGACCGGTAATTACCGGGCCACACGTGAAACGAATTCAACATGGCACAAACAACTGCAAATACATGTTGAACTTGAACGACCACCATCCACCTCCTTCGCCGCATACCCCTTCTCGCTGCATGCACGTCTTTGACGTCGCCGAGGTGCACATTCTCTCTCTATGACTTTTGCTTTTTACTGATGCTCAAACTAGCTCTGTTCTGATGAGGCCCTGTAGAAACATAGCCCGCCTGCCTGCTTTGTCCTGACCCTCTAGCATGACGTGTGTGTTGCGAGCCATCTACTACGATGGCCATGAGCGCGTGAACCTGATCTTGGTCTTACACAGCCAGGAGTACCTGCAATAGATGTGACGCGCGCCTCGCATGCTTAGCGCCACGCGTCACCTTCGGATGTACCAATGGGTGAGTTATATCTTATTTCTCCGTGCGCATGATCACTCATTGAACCACCTTTGGCTAATTTTGTCGTCCCCCCGCTCATTCGGCGCTGGCATGGCTACTTTCCGTACAAGCTATAGATCACGGCCTCAGCCAAAACACACAATGCTCCCGGCTCGCGCGTACAACGTCGGCGAGGCGTTGTTGCCCGAAATTCCCCGCAGGACTCGTGTGCGATGGAATTTACACAGTGCGTCGCATTCCCTCTAATTTTAACTAAAGTTAATGATTTGCCATGCAGTCACCGGCTTGACTGCCCTGTAATGCTGCTAGCCAGTCGAAGCGATACGCCCCACTTCCACCCTCGAGCATCTGAGGGAAGGCGTCATAGGTGGTCACCGCCGTCGTCGTCATCTCCTCGACACCGCCCCTCTATGCAGTGTTAGGTTGCCGCAGTAGTGATAGGACTGGAACATCGTGTGTAGTTGTAAATGTAGTGTACATTAATACTATCCAATTCTCACTCACGAGAACCACTGAAGAAGATAATATTTGGTCATCCGATACTAGTCGTGAATATTCTTCGCAGCATACAGTGTAGAATATGCTATTATACTGGTGGATTAGCCTGGAATATAGCAAAAATATATTCGTTCTGTTTGGAGGCAATATTTTCGGAGCTATTCGAGATAAGTCTTATAGTGTCTCTATTCCGCCTAGTCGGGATTAAACAAGATATTACAACATAGTGTGAGGTATTTAACGATAAATCTAGAGTAATATGAAAGTACAGATTCCCTGATGCGAACGGCCAACTCGACACCATGGACCAGCAATTGTCGAACGACCGTGTAGACCCTCGTCCTCAAAGGTCTCTGCGCACTCAACCGCAGATATTGGTATGTAGCTAGCGAGCGCCGAGCAAGGCAGAGCTGGGAATGATGGCGTGTGACGTCACTGACCACCTCCGAGGCAAACAAGACCCAACCACACAACAAAAGACAGAGAACACACCATTCGGGTGGCGCGCTAAGCAAAACCAAGTATGTAAAAGGTGTTCTAGCAATATATTCAGGACGATCTCTCCCTAATTCGAGTCGTCTTCCTTCCGAGTACAGAGATGTCCAGCACGCAGTCTGGCTCCTCACTCGCGCACACTCGGAGCCATCTCATCGAACCGTCTGACTGGCACCGCGATGTACGCAATAAGCGTAGCCCGCCTTCAGCACGACATAGAGCATGCTGGATTGCATTTGACCAACACTACGATGCGCGGGGCGGGTTAGCCATTGGGCTTTGTTGTAAGTCATGTCTCCCGATCTCGAGTCGATCACAAGTCCAACCCCATCTTCAGACTGTCTTCCAGAATCTATCAATACTCGGCGTTTCTTGCTCAACCTGCCCGCTGATGTTTGGATTCCTTGGGACGACGGCTTAGCAATGACGACGTGCGGCCATTTCTGTAAGGGGAACCCCCTATTTCGCCATCGGGTTCTGTCGGGTTCTGTTCGGGCTGTCTTCCTACACGCTGCCCGATCACTCCTACAAGTCCCCGACGCTGTCGGGAGCTTTCCCACGCATTATCGGGACATCGGGCCCCCCTACGCATCGTCGGGTTCCCGATCCTATTACGTACGCATATATTCTACTTCTCTCTATTCCTATTTTATATTATTAGACCCCCTCTCCATTTTCCGATGCCTCCTATTCTTCCTATTCGTCGTCGGGATCGTCGGGCTCCGATATCGGGATTCTCGGACCCCGATATCGGGCATCGGGTTATCGGGTGGCTGTACACGGCGCATTGCCCATTCGGGTATATGCGCCCGCCCCCTTGTGATTCCTCCCCTTCGTGTACTGTACAGTTCTTTCGTTTCGTTCGCACGCTCCAGTAGTATTAGCCCTCGCCTTGGCAGAGGGGCTCCTTAGACTTGTTATCTTTCGATCCCCCTCTGCTAGGTGCGTAGTATAGTCGCTGGATGTATTCCCTATCGTCTTATATATTATCTTTGGATCCCCCTCTGCTAGATCTCGGGCTGAGTGCTAGAGCGCGCGGAGGTTGCCCTTACAGCATAACAAGTCTAACAATAGTCGACCGAGGTCGTTCCCCAGCCGCGTTCTAAACATTGCTCGCTTCGCTGCATCCAGCAGCGACTCCGATTCAGTTTCCGAACGCTCGGAACGATCTTCCTCGGCATACCACTCGTGTGACGAACCCGTCTTCGTGTCCACAGTCACGCACGAGCCCCACATCGACGTTGATAACTCGATCGGGTCGTCTGACATGAACTCCGACATGAACCTACGGTTCCAGCTGCTCGAGGAGTCCCTACGCTCTACGCTAATCGAGGGAATGAAGGAAATGTTCGCCAAATGGCAGCCTAACGTCGAGGCCAGCTCCTCACGTACTTCGGGTCTGGACCCACCCCCTCCCCTCCGAGAAACGAGCCCCCCGAAGGCTCGGGACTCCGCCCGATCGCGTCTCAAGGCAGCCACACCCTCTGACTTCGACGGCGATCGCAAAAACGGGCGGCGCTTCGTCAACCAGTGCCACCTGTACATGCGTCTCTCCCCCGACCTCTTTCCCGACGATCAGACTCGGGTTTCGTGGGTTTTATCCTACATGAAGTCGGGAAGGGCCGCCACCTTCGCGGAGCGCGTACTCCGCTGGGAAACTGACCATCCTGGCCAGCATCGCTTCAACTCCTACGCCGATTTCCACGCCCATCTCCTCTCCGAGTTTTGCGAGCAGTACGACGACATCTACGCCCGCAATCGCCTCGAGACGCCTGAGTACCATCAAGGGCGTCGTTCCGTTGACGAGTACGTTGACGAGTTCGAAGACCTCATCGAACGCGCCGGCTACGAGCTAAGTTCCGATGGCTCCAACGTCATGCGCTTCCGTCGGGGTTTATCCTCGGAAATTCAGGATCGCAGCGCGGAACTAGGCGCGAACCGCCCAGGAGAGACAGACCTTCGTGGCTGGATCAAGCATGCTCGTCTCTTCGCCCAGAATCGCGAGGCGAATGCTGCCTTCAAAGGCAACTCGCGCGGAAACCCGATCGCGCCAAAAGCGACACCCGTCGCACCCAAACGCACCGCTCCCTCCTTCCCCGTCGTCGCTGCACCTCCCCGTACTCCCAAGTCGTTTCCCCTTGGTGTTCCGATGGACGTAGACGCCACCCGACAGCGAGAGGGTAACCCGATCGTCTGCCACCGCTGTCGGAAACCCGGGCACATGAAGAACGCGTGCCCCCTACGCTTCGACATTTGCTCTCTGTCCCCAGAGCAGCTCGTCGACCTCGCCAACCTTGTATCCCAAG